AAATCGCTGCTCCACAGTTTTCGTTCTCTTACCTCTCCTGTCCTTTCATTGCGGTCCCAACTTTGCTTCTGTAACTGTGCTCTCTTTCCACATCTCAGCTGCTGCTCCTCCCTCGACAGTCCTGACTCACAGAAAGTGGTTTTATGTGATTGTTGTTAATTCTGAGTTGTTAATTCTGCGCCTTTTGGCAGAAGTTATTAGCTGAGTCGCCAAGCTTGCTGATAAGCTAAGCTAACTAACCCCCCTGTAAAAGCAGTGTAAAGTGAAGCGGAGCGGAGGGGGGAGGGGACGGGGCTGTTCACCCCGGCTTAACCCCTTACAGCCCGGAGTGAGGAAACTACTGACAAGCCTCAGAGCAAGGGTGCATTTTCCCTGATACTGGGGGCAATTCAGAAAGCAAATTTATGTGTAAACTGCTTAATTCAAGCCAAAAATGAGAGGAATTTACTTTTGTGAGTCATTATACTGAATTACTTTGATGAGTATTTTGCTTTACTTCATCTTTCCTCTTACTGGAGAAGTTTCCCCACATTCCAAGGTAATATATGCTCATTTATTTTTAAAAAAATATGTGTCAAGTTTGTAATATATGTCCATATATTTGACATATGTGTAAATATTACAAATTGACACTATTACATTTATTTCATTTTTCATATTTTTAAATATTTTGGTATATTTTTCCATATGAGTCACTTTTGGCCAACTGAAAAATTTGGTTAAGAATGAACAATTTTAATTGCTTATTAAAAAAACAAACCTACATGAAGAATTACTATCTAAACCAGGGGTGTTTAAACTTTTTTGTCTGGGCCAAAAAGACAAAACAATATACAAAAAAAGAAGGTTTCAAAATGAAGATTTCAAATAAAGCTGAAAAAAATGTTTATAAAAATAAGCATGTTTATAAATAAGCTTATAAAATGTATTTTATAACATTACAGCACACTTTTTTACCAAAATACATTTATAGAGAAAATAGAGGAAATATAATAAGTTATGTTTTCTGTCATTGGGTGAACTTTGGCCACACTTTCAGGAGGGCTGATCTGAACTGTTTCAGCATTTCAGTACACTATCCTTCCTGGAAACAGCCTCAAAAACTTTAGTTTTTGCTGGTTAATTGATATTAAGGATCTGAACTGCTTTAGATGTTTATAGGCTAATTCATTCACTGCTAAAGGGCGGATTTGGTGTTTGAACCTGAATATTGTGACACTGAATATCATCTTGAATAAAAAGATTTGTTTGTATGGTTTTCATTGACTTGGCCAAAACAAGTACGTGAATGCTGTTGTACTTGAGAATGTGGGAGGGTGACAACTGGTAGATCAAGTAAAAGTATGTAAGAGTTTCTGGAAAGACCAGCTTTTCCCTAACAACACGCTATGACAAGCATTTTAGACAGTGTACAAGGGAAATTCTACCAGCAGCACTGCTAGCTTTTTTCCTTCAAAATGAATGTTTCTTGTGATCCATTAAGGTTTCCCAGGTGGATGTTAATTCTCTTTTTAACCCTCCCTCCTTTCCGCAGCAAATACTTTCATTAAAGTTGTTGGACTTTGAGTGATATGTACAGTCGTATGCAAAACTTTAAAAATCCCTAGTCAAATCACGTTCTGTTGATTTTCTAAATGAAAATTTGATTTTTCTACAAATTTTAGTGCACAATTTCAATTTTATTATTTACTGAGGTTAACACATTAGAAAAAAATAACATAAAAAGTGTCATAATGTCTGCACAGGCCACATGTGCCGAAGTGTGTTCTCCGTAGAGAGTGTGTACTTATTTGCTTAGAAAACCAACAAAACATGTCAATTGACCAGGGGTGCCAAAACTTTTGCATACAACTTTATATCTGTTTTGGTGAACTTGATAAGTTGATAAAGTTGATGGTCTGTCAGGGCCTTGAATGACATACAAAGTACACAAGTTTGCACCAAACATTCAAAGACATGCATTTCAACCTTTATTTCCAACCAGGGGTCAATAAAGGCATATCATATCATATCCTATCATATCATATCAGTTGCTGTCAATTTGATTCCGACCCCAGGCGAACACATGGATAGTGTTTCTTCAGAACACCCTGTAGTCTGTTTGGATCTTTAGGCTTCTTAATGGCTTGTTCAAGACTCCTCTGATTGTCTCCTTCCATCTTGTGGCTTGCCGTCCTCTTCCTCTTTACCCTTTCAATAACCTTTCATGCTTCTCGTTCTTCTTCCTAATGCATTTATAATAGGATTCATCTTATCTGATCTTTTGATTCGGCCTTTAAACAACCAGGGCCTGTATTCATGAAGCGTGTCACATTAGTAGTTCTGATCCAGGATCTGTTCCTGTCAGTAAGATCATCTAAAAGCAAGACATGAATCTGATCCTAAATCAGCTCCAGTTTTAAGAGGCTTTATGTGTTTAGGCTCTGGTTAATGACGCAGATCAAAAGCATTCAGCAGACGGCGCTTCTTGCCTTCTTATGTAAAATCATATGTGTACTAAGATGATGATTCAGAAATGTTTTTCCTGCAGTGCTGGGTGTGTCACCTCGACTCGAGCTGACAGCTCTTATTGGTTTTACAGGGCGTTCTCAGCAGTCCGGAGCATGCATTTTTAATGCCCATGACGTCATTTCGTTTTTTCCCCCCTCTTTCCCCAGATTCCTGCACTGGGCAGCAGCTGGTTAACATTCTTTTGTGTGGATGTTTTATGCAGGCCCTCTCTTTCTCTCTCTCTATCTTTCTGTCCATTCCTCCCTCCCTCTCTCTCTTTCTTTCTCTCTCTCTCCATTCCTCCCTCCCTCCCTCTCTCTCTCCATTCCTCCCTCCCTTCCTCTCTCTCTTGCTCTCCCTTCCTCTCTCCATTCCTTCCTCCTTTCCTCTCTCTCTCTCACTCTCTATCTCTCTCTCCCCTTTTCTTTATTTTTCCTGAAAACAGACTCCTGACCAAATTCTTTGTTTTCCAACAAAGGCTGGGTGATGTCACTGGAGCGGGCATGCAGACAGAATTGGGAGGTGGGGAGGGGCAAAGTGGGGGTGGGGTTGGGGTGGGAACTGCACCATGGTGACGTCACAGCGCATGAGAGTTACCCTCAGTGAACTGGAAACTTATAAAAACTGTTTCTCGCAGCTGTTTAGACCTAATTATGGTAGTTACACACTTTTCATCAGGCTACACCTTTTTCAAAACTGAGGAAAAAATAAAGTTCTTAAAATAGTGCATTAACAGAATTATGTACATATAAAAGTACTGGAATCCTGATTAAAAGTGGTCTGTGGTATGGACATGAATCAGTGGGTGAGGTGAGTTTTAGCTGAGCTCAGCATGGGCCGACTGAACTCTCTTTGCTTTGCTGCCCCCCTGTGGCTTCAAGCGGTAATTTCAGCTACCAGTATTGCTGTATTAAAGGGGAAGTCCACTCATTTCCAGAAATTTCTGCACAAGACAGTCGTTAAGATGTAAACAAACTCATTCACTGTGGCTTGATTTGAAATGGCTCATTGTGGATAAACTTATAGACTCATATTCCTTTACAGTGGTTATGATAGGAACCTAAGATCGCAATGTCTACAACAAAAATAAAGCCATTTTATTCACTGTCCAAAGTGACCAGTCAACCCACATGTGTCTTCTGAGTTTATATGTAATGATGATGGTAAAGTGGTAATAAATCTGAAAAATACTTTTTTCTTTGGTGACTGTTCTGCTTGTTTTGTCCTGCATTTATATCTAAACCATAAATGGATTCCATAAAAAATACATTTTAGACCAAAATATTCCCTCAAAACTATCAAAAAACAGTGTATCAGTGTATTTATAACCATTTCATATAGTAACTCTCTGTAAATCAACTTTTAGTATCATCTAATTTTTCAGACGTCTGGTTCCTATCACCACTGTTGTGAACAAGTCTGACTTGGCAGGTTTCTCTAGAGCAGAGCATTTCACATCAAACCACTTTGTAAGAATTTTGTTTACGTATTAATGATTTAATTATTTTGAAATTTGAAAATTCCCCTCTAATAGCAGTATAATAACACTGTGTTCATGCTTTATTTACAATAATGTATTAATAAAGTAGTCTTGTGAGGCTGGCTTGCTAAATGTCTCCGTAAAGATTGTGTAAAGGGATTTTTCTGACACACTGTTTGAGTGTCAGCACTTCTCTCATTTAAAGAAATGTTCATGAGGAGGATAATTTCACCATTTGCTCAACATGAACAGTCCTTCATAGGCATGATTCAACACAACCAATGCACAGACACTTCATGAGCTGAGAAGCTGAAATACAACACAACACAGGCCTATAAGTGGGGAGTATCCAGTTCTATTTACTCAGTTCAATGGGCTGAAGTGCAGTATGGCTGGTTCCTCAAAGTCAAAGAGAATTTGCATTTGGGAAGCAAAAGCATTCTGAGATAACAGTAATTATGAAAATGAGGGAAATCAGCACCATGGACAGCAGAGAGGAAAACACTCCATCTCAGGGAGCATGAAGTTCTGCTTCCATGTAAGAGCTGAAGGTTAATGCACCAATTAATCCAATGATAAATGTCGCCAACACAGTCATTCTCTCAATGCCTTGGTTCAGCAATAGAGCAGAAGAGTCCAATTTTGGTACAAGAACCTGCACAACAGGTGGGTGCCCACAGGAGCAGATCAGCACATGAATGAATAAAAACAGGTTGCAAATCACAGCATCATACAATACTGTGCAACCGTACAAATGTACTTATTTAATTTCCAGTTGAAACGGCAATTAAGTACAAGTTATTCATTTTTCAGCATCAGAAAATGTTCATTATTTAGTGTGTCCATGTGTTGGCTTTATTGCAACTTCCATTCTTTTCAGGAGACTTGCTTTCAATTTTACAAAGAAATCTGCAGGGATATTTTTCCACACTTACAAAGTTCAGTCTTGGAGGTTGGTTGCATTTTCTGCCTTTCACAATACAAGTAATCCTAAACACACTCTGTGATGTTGAGGTCTGGACTCTGGGGTGGTCAGTCTACTGTTCTGAGAACACCAGCAGCTTCTTTCTTTGATAGCATTTTTTTTTCTTCTGTTTATCTGATGGGGACAGGTTTGTTGGTCTACCACATCTTGCAAGATGGTTAAAAGTCCCACTTCTCTGTATTTTTTTTCAATTATTTTCCTTTGACTTTCTTCTTCCATATGCAAGTGGATTATCTTGCATCTAATCGCCTCAGAAATATCTCTGCAAAACTGAATAACTCAGGATATATATTTAATATAAATAATTCAAATATAAATAACATTGCATTTTTTGTATTACATACTGTGTTGACACTCAATGCAAAAGTGGATTTTTATTACCAGTTACTTGTAATTATGTTGGTTTTAACTTGGGATGCCCTCATCATAAATTTTTATGGCTGATTCCAGTTTCTTCACAGCCAAATTGGACAATGGACAAATTTTATCTTTAAGTCTTTTTTTAACCAACAGGCAACAAACATAATAACATTGCTTGTGTACTTTTTATCCGAACCTCACACCATTTGCAAGCAAATGGAACACACTCATATGAGAGGTTGTGGAGGTTGACAAGATGACTGGCTAGCAATAGGGGTGCTATGGAAGAGTGGTGCATTGCATGAATGACTCAAAACAGTCAATGCACAATGTAAACATAAGCAGACCAGCTGAAGGTACTTCGCCCAATTTCCAACTGTTAGTTAAAGCCACTCTATGTAGGTTTGGGATTTAGAGACCCCTACGGTGAAAATCACACATCGTGTGAAATAACATGACGAAACTGATGATTGTGAAAGTTCAAAGAGAACTTAATCAAAACTATGATGTGGTCCGAAAAACATCTTACAATAACAGCTTATGTGTACACTTTTAAGCAGGGAAACTGTGATACTCCATACTTTTTCTAAGCTTTTCAGCTGAAATATTTCTTTAATGTGATGAAAAGAGCATGGAAAGAGAAGAGAATTGCAGTAATCTTTCTGCTGATCAACTCAGGAAACACACTCCGAGGGCGTGTTTTTTCTTAGTTCATTTGAGATGTGCACCTAGCACTCGATACCAGATGGAAAATTTTATCCTCTTTTGAAACTTCAGTCCACCACAACAAAGGAGCCATCTGTTATAAAAGAAAGAGGAAGTGCACTTGGAAAAGCTTCTCTTTGCATTCCATTACAAGAATCAGCTCCAAAATACAGAAGGAATATGCTTTGTACTTTCACAATTCCTGAAACTTGCATAATTGAGCACTCTGATTTATGTTCTCTTCCTCTCTGACTGGCTGAGCTCAGTCATCTCTCTCTCTGTCCATGTGTCCTGTCTGCAGGTGCAGCACAGCCCGCAGGTTTCTGGAAGAACATCTCCAGCCTCAGCAGCAGCGTAGGCAAAATACTGTCCAGTAAAGCTAAACCTTCCCAGGAACAACGCAGCCCCCTGCCAGAAAAAGTGGGCAAAAGTGTTAGACATGTACAGACGGTTTACCATCAGTATATAACTGACAGTTCACTCTGTGACCTAGTACTCCACGGATAACATTTGTGTGCTTTTGTGTACCAAAAATAGTACGTAAAATAATTTTTACATGACCATTGTCCAACCTCTCGTTATCCCTCAGAATTACACAGACCGATTTATATATATGATCTCTGCTCTAATTGGCTGTAGCACTCCTTATAACTTCAGTATGAATGGGCAGAGCTGACCTGCTTCGGGCTGAATAGGCAGATATATGTAAATGCTTTGGTTTAGGCGACTTCACAAAAATAATGTATTCAAAACGGATTGTTTTTGCAGCTTAGTTCTACATATATTGACTGTATGGGCTGGGGTGTGAATGATATATTTTGGATTTTTTTGGAACACATTTAACAATGTGTTCATACTACACCAAACTCTTCCAAAAAAGCATGGAATTTTTTTTTTATTATTTGGGCCTTTTAAGGAGTAGTAGCATTACGATCTGCAGGGTGTTTCATTTTCACAAATGATTCAGTCACATGTTGTAGAGCAAATCATGATATTAAAACTTCAATAAATCAAAGAAAGTGTTGATGAACTCTAACAGTTTAGCAATTCTGTGCTCTTATAAAGCTGTTATAGCTGCCCAACTAGTTACAAAGTTATTCTTGTGCTGAATGAGGTACAGTTGTATGCAAAATTTGAACACCCCTAGGCACATGACCTGTTTTGTTGATTTTCTAAGTGTTCCTCTACAAGAAGACATCGTAAATATGTTTTTCAGAAAATGCCAGTACACAATTTGTATTTACTGGCTGAGAAATACAGCAAATAAACATGTGGTTTGTACAGCGTAGTGGAAAAATGTGGTTGGTTTGGTGTAGTGGGTAACATCTTTGTCTTCTATGCTGTAAACTGGGGGCAAGCACCATACACTATACCAATAAGGGGCCTTGGGCAAGACTCCTGACACTACCTTTGCCTACCTGTGTAAAATTTTTAAATTTTAAGTTAAGTCGATCTGAATAAGAGTGTCTGCTGAATGCCATAAATGTTATACTTTTAACAGTAATTGTGCATTAAAATGTGCAGAGGTTTGTTCTCTGTAGAGGATGTCTCAATTTATTTTCATTTAGAAAACCAGCAAAATGTGTCATTTGACCACAGGTGCCAAAACCTTTGCAGAGGACAGTACGCTGAAGCATGCTGAACCCTAAACTGAGGACTTCTGTAGTCCTGCAGGGCTAGAAGACGACTGTAAGAATATTAAATGTGATACTGAAGTTAGTCACCTGTCATCGAGGATCAGATGACCCCTCTGTTGCAGTTGCTGAAAATCTTCTGATATTCCGAAAACTTGATGCAAATTTGCCTCTGGACTGAACTCTGCCCAGTGCTGTCCCACCAAAGAAACAAACAGACAAATGCAGGGTCAGATCCCATAGAGATAACATTCACAGCTAATTAGTTCAGAAAATATTCTCCTTAAAAAGGCAAAACATAAAAAAAAGTAATTAACAATTACATCTGATGTAAACATTGATACATCTGTCACTGGGGGCTTCCCAGTTGTTGGATGTATTGACACAATGCAGGCTTGGTATCACAGTGAGAGAACAATGATGGATGAAAACGCCAAAAAGGACAGAAAATCTCAAATTCTGTCAAGCCAATGAGGCTGCACTACAGAATATTATGTAACATGTGACATACTAAATGCACATTTTAGATCAGAATGCCTCTTTAACTGCAGTAATTAAATTTTATCGTACATGATTATATGTACATGAATATTTGTTGTGTTCTTTGCATTTCACAATAACTGTATCAAAGGACATGGTCCAAAATAACTTGGAATAAAATCTTGTTGCAACAATTTCCATTACATAACATGTTGTTCTGACAGCGACAGTATACACAAAATCAACAAAACAAGTAATTTAACCAGGTATGCCCAAATTTTACATATGACTATGTCCAAAATTAATAAGACACCTGCTCACCCAATGTTTTCCCTGAAAAAGGAGTATTAATTGGAAGTTTGTTCCTCCAGCAACAGCCTCTATTTTCATAAGAGCATTAGTGAGGTCAGGTACTGATGTTGTATGATTAGTTCTGGGTCACTCCAACAGGAAGGAGCTCCATCACTACAGAGAACACAATTCCACTGCTCAACAGCCCAATGCTGGGGACCTTTAAACCCCTCAAGCCAACTCTTGGGGCTGGGCAGGGTAATACCTGTACACCTTTATGTAGCAGACATGCTGCTGAATGGTTGAATCAGTGCAATACCTGGTGAGAGATTCCTTCATTCATTCGTAGTCCCATGACCAAAACTTCTTCCAACCTACAAACGCAAAAAGCCACACACTTATCAACATCATACACCACCAGTTGTTGCACATCTTCTGTCACTCTGTGTATGCTTGTCATGAATGATCCTCACAGCTCAAGATGGCTCAGCTGTATCCGCCTGCGTGTTGCATGCCCGTGCTGCTGGACTTCTCTTATCCAAACGTCTGGCTCTAATGTCTGAGTGCGCGCTTCCCTCAGAACCCCCTGTTGTGCATGAGGAACAAAACGGCCATGTGCTCCTGAGAGACAAAAGAGAATAATCAACATACGTTCATATGCAAAAGTTTGGGTGCCCCTGGTCAAATGAGATGTGATTTTTTAAGTGAAAGTACACATCCTCTACAGAGAACATACTTCTACACATTATAACACATAATTACTGTTTATTTGCTGAATTTAACATATTGTAGAAAAAAAAAAACATAAAATGTGGACAGTGCAAACGTTATAGCATGTTTTATTTTTCTTCCAATATGTTAAACTGTACATTAAAATTTGCAGAAAAAAATCCATATTTGCCATATTTATTTTTCATGTTTGTGTTTATTGTAGAGGATGCGTTCAATAAAAAATCAGCGAAGCATGTAATTTGACCAGGGACATTCAAGCTTTTGCATATGACTGTTAATCTAAGCTTATCATGATCAGACAGACAATAGTGTGAAAATGCAAATGTGGCAAACTTACCAGGTCCAACACCAATGTACTGCTGTGCTTTCCAGTAGCCAATGTTATGTGTGCTAACAGCATTCTAGAAAAAAAGAACACATAAAAACAGCCTAAATGTTTGACACAAAATATAGTGGTATGACAAAACTGAAACATTCCACATCACAGTGCAAAACAGTGTCTCTACAAAGGGCAGGGCTGCACACTATGGACAAAAATTCAGTACCTGATAACGTTTTCAGAAATTACGATGACAATATGAGAAGCAATAAATTATCAAAACAGTGTGTCTCTGGGTGTGAAACAAGTACAGACTTTTTTTTAGTTGTGTATTTTTTGATCTGACTAATCTCTCCTTTAAGGAAATACCAAAAATTTTAATATTACTCTCTGTTCACCATTGTGCAAAGTGCAAAATTAAAAATAAAGAAATATGTAAAGCTACTATAACTATTTACACCCTAACTTTAAGCACATTTTTTGTGCACTGTAAGGCTGTTAGTAACATAATCTGTCACAATGATGTGTCTAACAAAGAAACTCATATCACTGTAATAAAAATATATTTAACAGTGTGGACCAAACTAGGGCCATTATGATATAAATATTCACCTTTTTTCCCCCAACATGGGGGTTGCTAGACAATATGAAATGGGAAGTTAATAGTTGGATGTTCTGCTATAAAACCATTTGTAACATTTGTTATATCATGTCGGACTGAATATAAAAATACATGTTTATCAGTGTCCTATTAAAAACACTGAACACTGATTATTTGTTGACTTTTGCAATTTAGTTTTACAGTCTTTGAGTACTGCATGTTGTGTGCATTTAAAGTATCCATATCATGGAAATCTGAATTTCATGAAGTTATAAGCAGTGTTTCAGCTATGAGGGATTTTTGGCTGTCCAGTATGGTGCCTCATTCAATGAGAACAGAGCTCATTTATCATTTATCAAAAGGAGCAGTAACAACAACACCCTGTTTAATTTAATTAGTGATAAAGAGAGGTTGGAAAAAAAGCCATGTAAAAAATAAAATACAAGAAAAATGTAGTGAAAATGGAAAATGGGTCCTTCAAATTATTTTGTCTTCTAAGAAACTACTTGTTTCTTCTTGTGTCTACTTGTTTCTGTCAACAATGTTTTTCACTATTCTTTTTACATCTATGTCAAATATATTGTGGCGCAAGACATATTGTAAGACATGTTGCAAAATTTGGATGTTGTTATGTCCCTGTTAGTCTCTTCTGAAAACTTACATTCCTGTCGAAGTTGGACACCTCGTACTGGAGGAAGCCCGCCTTCTTGAGAATATTTCTAGCAGTTTTGTACATCGTGGCGGTAACGTCATCACCAGGCACACGCACTTCACCCAACTGGACTTGTTTGAAGAGATGAGTGCCCCTCTCCAGGGTCAGCTGGTATAGTGACACATGGTCATCACAGACGGACAGCACCTCCTCCATTTCTCTCTGCCATGAATCTTCACTTTGGTCTGGAAGCCCGAACATAACATCTACTGACACACGTCCAGGGCACAGTGTCCTGGCCTCTGAGAGCGTCTGGAGAGCTTGCTGTGGACTGTGATCTCTCCCCAGTACCCTCAGACTGCTGTCGTTCAGAGACTATGGAAACAGAGTGTAGTTAATAAGTACCTGGACAGTGACACAGTTATTGTTGTTCTAGCTCTGTGCTTGGGGCTGCATTGTATCTGAAATGAACCCATGATTAAATTGTTGTTAAAGAAGAATTCCACTGATTTGTTCAAAAAGTTGTTAAGATGTTACCAAAGTCATTCAGAGTAGTCTGATGTGAAATGCTCCTCTCTAGAGAAACTTACCGAATCAGAAATATTTACAGTGGTGTTGATAGGAACCAGACATCTGAAGAGTTTAATGTCTCTAAAAGCTCCCTCACGAAAGGTGTTACATGCACTGGTTATGAATATGCTGTTTAGTGCCTGAAACCAGGTTTAGCTCCTCATCTGGTCAAACTTTGTACATTTCTGGTCACTAATCTTTCAGATCATGGCATGTTTTGACATGTAGTGTATATGCAGTGGTTAACAAACTAAAAACATTTTAACTTTGTGAAATGTTTTTTTTGCAAATCACCTGCATCCCAATAGAAAATCGATTGACTCCGGCTGCTACAAAGTCTCTGAGTCTGGCTTTCGCTCCAGGTGTGGGGTTTACCTCCAAGGTGACCTCAGCATTTGCAGAAAACTGTGCATGTTTTGATACAGTCTCCAGTACAGCAGCGATGGTAGAGGGTTGGGCCAGGCTGGGTGTCCCACCACCAAAAAACACAGAGGTAATGCTAGTAGAAAACAGACACTGCTTATTAACTCAGGAACAGCCAGTGTTCTGTAACATTAGGTTCATTATTTCAGCAGTTACTCTGAATACATTACTGGGTAAAGGAGAGTCATCCTACATTTAATTAGGTTCCAGTCAAAACAGCCATTAAATACAAGTCATTTGTTTTTCAGGAGACATTTCCGAGGGGATTAGATATAAAACAATTTAAGGAAGGGAAAATTCAAAGGAAAACAAGTGAAAAAATTAGTTTTTAAAACTAGATTTCAAACAATTATTAAAAGATACAGAAAAAATGGGACTCTTAAGAACCCTAGATGACCAAATCTGTCACTACTAGAAAAACAGTACTTAAAGCCTTCATTCTTAAGAAATAGTAGAAATGTGAAAAGCAGAAAATGCAACCAACTTCTAAGACAGAATTTTCACTGTGATGGAAAAATATCTAAGATTTCTTTGAAAAACTGAAAGCCTCCTGAGAGGAATGGAAGCTGTAAGAAGGCAAAGTGTGCTCAAAATAGAAAAGTTTTGTTTTATATCATGTTGTGTTGGAGGGTTTTTTTTTGTCATTTTCCATTAAGGAGTTTCATTCCAAAATGCTGTGTATCCACTTATAGTGGTTTTGGATACAAAGAGTTTTTGAAAAGAATAACAGATGATGTATAATAGAGACACATTTTCATTTCTCTAATAAAGACGTATTAATTACAATATAGAATTGATACTTCTTGTGTAAATCCCACTTCCACCAACGTATATATGAAAACAAAAAACAAAGCCCTTAATATGTTCTTTTGCTTTTTTTCCTGATGCTTAAAAAAATTAATAACTTGTACTTAATGACCATTTTGACCGGAAATTTAATAAATGAGAGGTGGTCCAACTTCCAGTTTTGGAAAACATTCAAGATTCCTTGGTACGTACTATTATGTCAAGTAAAACCTCAAAGTGGACCTCATACAAAAGATAGTGGATTGTGCATTTTCTATTTAGTCATTTTGCCCAAAGTAGTACTGCAATAAACTCAATTCTCATGATAACAGGTGTCAGGATACTCAGTCTCCCCAGTAAACAAAGGTCAGTACAAACACCTACCGAGAAACCTGGCTGATGTGCAGCAGTGTCCGGGTTTCTTTCTGCAGACTCTGTGTCATAAGCGCATGATCCACTGAGCGAGGGATGTACTTGTTGAAGTTGCAGTAGGAGCATCGCTTCAGGCAGTAGGGCCACTTTTCATAGACAGAGAGAAAGAGTGTGTGTGTGTGAGGGTTGGGGTGGGGTGGAAGGGGTTATCAGGTCATCAAACAAATTACAGCACTCATATTAATGTACACAATACAGAACAAAGCAGGATGCCAGGCTTAATTTGATGTCTGTACAGCTGTTTCAGTGTGCTATTGGTCTGAGTATCTACAGCTCACAGTAAAGCTTGCAGTGCTTTACTTTCATACCTGATGTGGTAGCTAGAATAGCAGGTAAGGCTGTCAAGATTTGGTAGAAAATTGTAGAAATTTTAGCTGACGATTAATTGTCATATAATACTTGCAATTAACAGTTTAATTATCTTTTGTTGTTCATTGTTTGCAACTGAAGTGGCCAAATTGGCTGATTATCCACCTTCTTGTAGCTATTACCTAGTAGTTAACACTGGTTACTCAGCACTGCCCTCTAAACATGTCAGAGCACCAAGTTAGATGTTTCCATTTTCACTGCTTTCTTTTACTTATGTTTATTTGCCTCAACCCAGTGCACCCAGTTCACATTTTGTTTGTTGCAGCTTTATATGACTGTGAAATATAACAACTGTGGAAAATGATTGCAGTAGTTTGAATGATTGCAATCATCTCAAATAACTGCAATTAGGCGATTATGTAATAATGGTAACAGGCGTAGTACCGGGGTTAGTTAGTTAGTTAGTTAGTTATTTGACGGATGGACAGATGTGCCATTATACAAAGAGCCATAAGGAAAAACAGAAATATCCCCAAAATATGTAACCACATCAACACATTACTCAAATTAAACATTACATTCAGAACACTACCTGTATTCTCTCATATATGCATGTGATAATATCGGAAACCGCGGTAAAAACGGTAAGTTATACTACATTTCTCGTCACATGCCTACTGACAGTTTATACAGCTGATGAAATATGTCAGTTACAGAACAGCAAAAAATCTTCCATGAATTACACTCCATATTTATTCTTTTTTCAGGAGAAGTTCACTAATCCTTTTCTGTTTTGTTTAAGTGAATTGACGATTGACTAACCATTAGAGAGAGAGAGAGAGAGAGAGAGAGAGAGAGAGAGAGAGAGAGAGAGAGAGAGACTCTTAACTCACGCAGACATAATAAAAGTCCCCGTAAATGCCCCGCAGACAGACCATTACAAAGGATACTCACATGCACATACAGCGAAGCTTCATGTGTGTAAGGTCTGCGGGAAACTTGTCCTGTCTCGGTGACAGGACACTTCAAAACACATCGCTGGAAAAGACCTCGCCACCGCATTTCTTCACATCTCAAACGTTGGCTGACTCGGTGTCGCAGCAATAACAGTAAATCCAGATTTAGGTCTGGTTAAAGACAAGAACAAAGCAATGCTTTGACTTTAGCTGCTAAAGGTAGAGCACCGCTAAAAAGGGGGTGCTTTGCTGCACGGCGCTATTTCGCTGTGACACTTCACGTCACCCAAGCACGCCTGCGTCCACATGGGGTCGCTGTTGAGTGCATTAGGCGTGAGGACCAGTCCGTAAACTCTTAAATTTCTGACGTCAGAGTGGTTTTGTTAAATAACTAAAAGTAGAATTACATAAGTGCATAAATAAATAAAACATGTATTCATTTATTCAAGAGTTTATGTCCCAAATTTCTTTCTTTCTTTCTTTTTCTGCCTCTCATTTATGTATCTATAGATTCATCTCTGTTTTTATTTACTGATTTATTTGCTTGCTTATTTACTTATTAGTTTATTTACGTAGTATTTTGGCAGAACGTGTTTTTTACCCTTTAAACTTGTCATACAAATAAAATTAAGCTTTAAAACCTGGACTTAGATTTGAGCCCATTGAAACCAAAGAGTTTACTTCTGAGCCGTTGTTATTACAACTGATCTGCTGTAGTTTGTTTTGTTTAGGTTCTATTTTAGGCTGCACTGTCGAGCTGACGTGGCTTCCCAAAGTTTGTAATCAGTCTCACCTCCCAGCAACATGAGGGGGAATATTGATTAATTCATCCTAATTCAGGCGTCAGCCTGTCTGCTGTAATCTATTCTGTTATAGAGCCAACTGAACCTAAATAACAATCAGCCTCTGGACTAACTGTTAACTATGTAATTGCAAGAACCCTCAGAAGTGTAACTGGGTGGATCTAATTTGAAGAGGGTAGTAATGTAGTTTAAAGTCAAGACAGATAAATCATCACAGGGTGTCAGAGGACAGGAGTAAGTAGTAGCATTTTCAAGTATGTTTGTTACATTACATCAAGTATTTTTGTCAGGAAAGTAATTAGTTCTGTTTGCTTGAGCAATAGCATATTATTTTACACCAAAACAAGAGGAGCAGAGCAAACAAACTTCACAGATGCTAAATGTACCAAGACGTTGCCCTGCAGTTCTATAGGGAACTGTTATTAAACAGGCACTTATTGCTAACCATCAAGGCCATAAAGGTCAAAATTAAAGTGATTTTGTTATGTGAAGGTCTGTGGGTGGGGAAGTAGATACGAAAGGGGTGCATGTATGAATGAGAACGCACTACAAATTCAATAAGCCCTTGCCCAGAAGGCATTTTCCACCCAGTACTAAAGCTCATGCAGTATCAGTAGGGAGGGAAGACTGAAGCCAGACGTGCAGTGAGACAAAGCCTGTTGCAGATTTATCTAAAGTTTCTTTGCATTGTGAGAACCTGAAGGTGCTTTGATTGAACAACCTTGATAATTAGCATAGACTAAGGTTGCTAACAGGTTGAATCCCTCTGAGGGAGAAAACATGATGCGAGGCTTGGCTAGGAGGGAAGGTAAGTTCCTGTTGTATGTGTCTGTCTCCATTCATATAACTGGGCAGGTGGAAGAAGTTGCATGCAGAGCTAAGGTTTCTTATTCTTTGAGTAAAAACTTATCACCTTCTGATTTCTTTCTCATCATCTCTTTGCCTACACTTCAAAATACCTATTGTTTACTGTAGCAAAAAAAAAAATGTATGTATGTATTTGACCTTTCCCTTCCTTAAATTGTTTTATATCTAAAAAAAATAATAATAAATATATATATATATATATATATATATATATATATATATATAGCAGTTAGCAACTTTGATATATATACAATGAACTTTGATATATATTGATTGAACATTGATATATATGGAATGAACTTTGATATATATACAATGAACTTTGATATATATGGAATGAACTTTGATATATATGGAATGAACATTGATATATATGGAATGAACTTTGATATACATACAATGAACTTTGATATATATGGAATGAATTTTGATATATATTGATTGAACATTGATATATATGGAATGAACATTGATATATATGGAATGAACATTGACGTACATGGATCGAACGTTGAGATGAAAAAATGAATAATATAATTCGTAAAATGTTTTGTTCAGACAGAGAGGGACTTTTGGGGTTGTGTGTGTTCTAGCCTTGCAACTCCCCTGACCCCCCACCCCAAACAGACTGTTTACATTGTTATTTAATGTTACTATGTTGTTGTTCTTCAGTTACAGTGTGTGTATGTGTTTACTCTGTTATTTTGTGTCCAGCTCAGAGTTAGGGAGAGTGTGTTTGTGTTTGGTGACACTCAGAAGAAAGAGTAGGGCTAGGAGTGACCTACCTCAATTTTCAGTTGCTTTTCAAGTGGCACTGTTTTCCCTTGCTCTCAATAAAAGAGCATTTTTCAAACAGAAGTTATGGCCTCATCTGACTCTTCTTCTGCACCATGTCAAATTATGTATGTATTGAAACTCCACCCATCTGTGTCTTCACAGCATATATCAGCCACTCTCAGGTCACTCTGTCCACAGGATCAATGTGTATAGATACTGGTCACTTTATCAGAATTCCCTTCCTTTAAGCTCCACCTGGAGTTTGTTAATGCCCATTTATTGATGTACAGTTCTTCTTGGCCATCCTCAACCCTTCAACAGCGACTTTCATTCAATATATATCAATGTTCAATCCATATATATATATATATATATAAGTTCATTGTATATATATCAAAGTTCATTAAATATTTCCTGTTTGGCTTGCCATAATATATATCTATCTATATCTATATCTATATCTATATCTATCTATATCTATCTATCTATCTATATATATATATATATATATATATATATATATAAAACAATAATATACAAAATATAAAATAAGTTCAAGCATAAACTTCAATTTAGTTTACCCAATGCTACAAAAATGAATAACTTGTACTTATTGGCCATTGGTCTCTTACCTTACACTGTAAATACCTTCAGGGGTTCATTTACTGAAGGATGTACTAATGATCAGTTTTTATTAGTGCATATTATGTAAAACAGAAAACTTTCTGCACAAAAATCTAATCACCACATTCTTGTGTCCACCCCAGTGATTGCTGAGACAGAACTGAGGATAGTGGTCATCGGTAGCAGTGGCCCATCTCAGTTCCTTCTCACCAACTACATTCTTGGAAGAGAGGAGTTCACTAAAGATGTGTGCAGCATCGCTGGAAGCAGAAAGAATGTGGGTGAACTTGCTGGGAGGCAGGTTGCTGTGGTCAACGCACCGAACCTATATGACAAAGACCTGTCCAAAAGCAAGATGAGGGAGGAGCTGAGAAGAGCAAAGTGTTTATCGTCTCCTGGTCCTCATGCCATCCTTATTGCATTTGACTTGGAGAAGATCTCACCAAACGACATTCAGACTCCCAAGCTGGTGATGAAGCACTTTGGAGAAAGTGTCCTGAACTATGCCATGATCCTCCTGGCATACGATGGACACCTAGGGGGCGCTGCCCTGAATGATAGGATCATGAAAACTGATTGGCACCTGCGGGAGCTCACTGAGCAGTGCAACTGCTGCTATCACATCTTTAGCAAGAACTGGAGGAACCGCAGTAAAGACAGGGAGCTTCTACAGAAGTTAGAGAGGATGATAGGAGCCATGGGGGGCCGCTGTTACACCAGCCCGGCCTACCGCAAGGCGGAGGAGAGCGTGAGGAAAGAGGAGAAGAAGCTGATGAAGAAGAGGGCCCCAGAGACAGAGAGGGCATGGAGGGAGCTGGAGAAACAGTACCAGGGGGAGGAGTTGCGTTGGCAGATGGATGCCTACAATGCCAGTGTGGGGGCTGAGATCAGGGCCAAAGCTGAGCTGGACAACACCTGGCTCAGGACTTCGCTGGCCATGGGGTTCGTGTTGGGGTTTGCAGCCGGGGCTACTATGGGAATGATTGTAGGGTCAGTGGAGGTGCTGGCTGGTATGGCAGTGGGCGGAGCTGTTGGAGGTGCTGTGGGTGGGGCAGCAGGGAGTGCTGTCCAATCAGCCATTGAGCATCTGGATGAAAGAGTGGGACCCCATGCCAACAACTTCAACTCAGCTTTTATTAACAGGTTCTTCCGAACACCGCGGGTCTGAGTTAGTGAGAGAGTACTGTGTTCTTCATATTGAAGTTGAGTCAGAGGTTCAAGTGACTGTGTCAGAAATCTTACTGTCATGCCTGTATTCATGAACACTGGTGGATATTTGATTATTCAGTAATCAACTCAGTTATGACATTTACATTTATAGCATCTTATTCAGAGCGACTTACAATCGAATTATATTACAGAGGTAATGTAGCATTAGGAGTCTTGCCCAAGGACTCTTACTGGTATAATGTGGCATATTTGCCCGGGTTTGAGAATAAACTCCAGTCTGTGTTGATCGCAGCAGTGTTATCCACTAGGCTATACCAACTGCTATATGTGTTCTATTCATTCAATCCATAAATAAAAGTACACTGAAGAAATGTCTTGCTGTGCTATTGTTTGTTAGTTGCAGTAAGTAAAAATTAAATCAAGAAAAAGAAAATGAGCTCTTGGCACTGTGAGATGATATTAATGTCTCAAAAAAGAATGCATATGTCAATTTCACCTGTCTATCAAACCTACAGTCTATATATTGTTACACAAGATGTTTGCAAAATCCTGTTTAAAACAATGAGAAATTGTAGTGCACAATATTTATTTAACACATATTGAGCATTATTAATTTCACCTGATTTTTAATTTGTGCATGTGAAACATTATGCTGTTAGCATAGATCAAGTTTAGCTTTCAAAACATCTGAGGCTAAGCATAAAGTTCACTAACCAGCTATTATCTTGCTAAGCCTCAACATGATCACATTTGTTTTGGGAAACCACGTGACTAAAAGACATTTTCACACATAGTCCAGCTTTTGCGCTCAGAAATATAAATGTAGCTCTAGTTTTGAAAACTTACTCATGCTTCTCAATATTGTCTTTCACATTGAGTCTAAAACTTATGGACTTGGGTGCTAAGCACATTTTCCAGTTGATTTTTCTTTTTTTAGGTGTTGCGGATGTGTTATTCAACAGGCTGACCGCTCAAAGCTTCGAACTGAAGCTTTATTTTCATTAACTTTGATAACTTCATCGCCAGTACTGCATGATGGGCACATTTTGTTATTACTTCCATGTTTCTTCCGTTTGTCCTCAGAGTGACAAAAAATCCATATCGAACTTGATGTGAAGAATCCTATGCGTGGAATATTACATTGACAATTTGGACACACATGTCAAAACCCAGTCAAAACATGAGAGAAAACCCATCTCAAAGATGATGCTAACTTCTGTAGCATCAACATGCAATTTTTTCCATCTCTAACAACCCATTTATTAAGCTGCCATTCGTTTTCAGTCAGAGACATATCTATGACATCCAGAGGGCCTTGAGCAGAGGTGTCACCTAATCAGTAGGAGAGCTTGTTTAGCTACATCTACCTAGATACCACAGAGAATTCCTGATTGGCCCATTTTCCACTCTTTGCTTGAAGAATTTAACACTTTTGTTTACGCTCTTGTGAAAATTTCATGATGAACTGACCAATAGAAATGCTCCAAAATTGCTTAGAATAAAATCTCTTTCCATTAACTTATATTAAAAGTACAGAATGTTTTTGCCCTCTTCTTTGAAGTTACCAATTTAAAGATACTTTTTTTCTTCGGACAGCGATAGTATTTTTTTCTATGGCTCCACTCTCCATACCAACAACTGAAACGTGCTGTTTTAGTATGTTTTGTTATTTGTAAGAGAAAACATCTACACAGTATTTCTCCACTTCTGAAAGGAGTTCCTCTTTCTCCTATCAATAGGAGAGCTGCTAATGTGGTGACAGAAGTGCTCAACTCCAACCACAGTCAGCTGCTTCTCAAATCAGCATGGTAACCTTTTTTTTTCGTTTGGGGCCTCTGCTCAAAAAAATTAAGAAAGACGCTCCCTCCGCCAGGGGGCAGTAACCACGCGTACAGCTGTTGGCGTACGTTTTAGTTTGCTTTCGATTTCACAGGCTGAATCTCGAATGACTCTTTACTGTACACAATTCCCAACTAGACACACGGCGCACTGTTTGGGTGCAGAATGCAACATTTCCCAACTCACGTACTGCACTAAATAAACTAAATAAGGAAGTAGGGCGCCATTTGGGATTCAGCCACACATTTGCGTTGCTTAACATTTGCGTTCGTACTTTTTAAATTATCTTTTATTTAGTCTGGTTTTGCTTTAATATTGAAAAGGCAAGGCTACTCAGCCCTCTGTGCTCAGATGTATCCGGTTAAAGACGGCTGAAATGTTTTAGCTGACCGACTGGGCCGACTGGGCGATTAGCCCCACCACAGGTATGTTTTCAATAGCAGAGCTCTCTCTGACACTGTTGTTAGTAAAAGAAAACGACCGAATTGGTAGCAAACTCAGCCGCAAACAGGCTGTACGGTGTTTGTATAGTGACTGAAAGCTTATTAAAAGCCTTAAGTGTAACGTTGGTGGTTCTTCCCAACGAGGTGATCTGGAGTGAGTGATCTTAGCAGAGTTGTGATGTTGATAGCTCACTATGTTGTTGTGATCAGCAGGTTTTATTTGTTTTATTTGCATTAAACAGCAAACATTACAGAAATACGTACGTTGTCAGGGCCTGCAATAAGGGAGGGGTAATAATATATAAGAATGATGAAATATAGTTTTCAAGTATATAAATATAGTTTCACTTGATTTGCATAGTCTTCTATAGTCCCCTGGGTCATTCTGAATTTGGAGTGGTGTTTCTGGTGGATACAGTTAAAAAAAATGAGTTTTTGTCATCCCAAAACTAAAAAATCTCAATATGTCAATTAACATCTCCTATTACCATATATGATCATATATCATAAAAAAGGAGAGCTTAATTTCAAACATATTGTGCAGTCACTGTGACTCCAGTGACATTCTGGTTAAAACTGAGGATTATGTCAGGTGACCTTTTGCAACTATTTAAAAGAGTCCTGATAACACCAGTGGCCAAAATCTGTCACAAATAAATTAAAATAACACATTTTTAAATGTAGTATAACATTAATGATATAAAAAGTAACCATGAATCTTGTTTTCAAGTAAAAATGGAAAATTGATTTTGTGACAGGCTGTTTTAGATATGCAGAGTGACTATGAAACAGGCAAAAAAAAAAAGGAAAATCAGAGAAATCATAAGGGAAAAGTATTTTTATCATCATCATTATCATTATCATCATCTTAGGTCATACTGACTTTTGGAGCTGTGCCTATTATTTTAAGCATCTTTTTAAGCCCTGCAACCTTTGTGACATGGTTTCCCCTCCAAATAGAGAATGACCCAAATACAGATGTTCAAATTGTTAATAAACTATCAGTTGATTCTAACTAGTGGAGGGGTTAGGTTTAGGTTTTAGACCAGGGTTAGGGCTAGGACCAGGGAGAGAGTTGGGTTTAGGTTTTGAGTTGAGGTTAAGGTTAGGATTAGAGCCAGGTTTAAAATTAAAGAAAACGATGGTCAATTTAGTAGATATTTAATTGAATATAGCTTGGAAGTACATTATCTACAAAGCATCTAAAGTGGACTATCCAAATGAAGTGTTACCAAAACTAAAAATATATAAAAAAAATATATCTTGGTCTAAGGATGATTAAAGGGTTATGATGACCTACACCAGGGGTCTCCAATATTACCTGCAGAGGGCAGGTGTGGCTGCAGGTGTGACTGATTAAACAAGTAGAATCAGGTGTGCTTCAGCTTGTTTGGAGTGAAAACCTGCATCCACACCGGCCCTTTGCGGATAAAATTGGACACCCCTGACCTAAACAGTCCATTTAAAGCAAATAAATTAACAGGTGGAGCAGAATATTTAGACACGTCAATACAATTTTATACAAGTGTAACATGACAGACCTAGTCAGACACTTTAATAAGAGGCTTTAATACAAAAGGTATTGGTAAGAATCGTAGTCATGATACAGGCGTGGGTCAAATCCAAAATAGCAAAAAGGCAAAACAGAGCAATCATAACCAGTAAGGAAGAGACAAAAGACAACAATGAAAGATCTAGAAGAGAGTCCAATAAACCAAACGGCCAACCAAAAAACACAATAGAAACACTCAGTAGTTCTGCAGGAGAAACAATACCTCACAATTTGGCTAAGCTAAAGCCCAGGCTTATAAACTGAATACATCATATGACATTAAACACTGGTGTAGAGAATCAGTACTCAGGAGACTTAGAGTGCTGATTAGTTGAATGAGGAAGCTCAGTCACATGATCTGCCAAGGAGTTCTTGGAAATAGAGTCCTTGTGTGAATTGAGGCTGGAGGGATGCGTGACAACAAGCTTATGCTACATCACTATAATTCAATTATAGCATGATCTCCTTTTTTTTTTAAATTTTGTTAGAGCTAAAACTCTATCAAAGATATCTGTCCAGTGCACCCCCCCCCAGTTTCTAATCATTGTAGAGTTGGCTTTGTTAATCCTTGCTGTCGAATGCTGTAATAAAACGTAACCATGATTCAAAATGGATTTCTTTGCAGCTGTTAAAGCTGTTTATAATATTCTTCATTGACTTTGAGTAACATTACAATTATAATCATCATTTAAGAAACACGTGATAGGTTGCTTTACAGAAGACTTGTCATGTAAATTTGACACCTTGTGTAGTACAGTATCCCATAGTTTTAGCAACTTGTTCACAATTATAAAACATATGCATATGTACCTACTGCTTTAGCACTGCAATTCCAATAAAGAGGACTGAACAGGCGCTTCATCTTATATAAAATACAGAGGGTGGCACAAGCTTTGTGTATAACTTCATAGTGAATTAACTGGTGTACTAGATTGTTAATAATAATAGGGATACCTTCCCAAATCCACTCCCAGGTTAACTAGCATGGACACAATTCTTTGATGTGATACTAACTTGGAGTTTATGAGTCAAATAAGCAAGTAATCTGTTGTAAGTAAATGAAACGATTCCCTGTGAGATTGAAGTCAACCACTCCATTAATAGGTGCCAGTTAATCTTGAGGTTTGATAGCTGTATTAAAGTTGTTTCACCTAAGAGTGCGATTAAAAAAAACAGTTTTTTTCTAATACATATAAATCCTAGACCCTCTGGTAAAAATAATAATAATAATAATAGTAATAATAATAATAATAATAAAAACATAACAGTAAAAATCTTCCACATTACAGATTTGTATTAAGATCAGAGGAGTCAGTATAACCATTGCAAAATAAATTTGAATATTGCAGAAGTTAATGGTGATGTGACATTTAGTTTAAAGTTTTAAATGTTCAGAGGTAATCTAAACATGCTTCTCTTTAAGGGGGGGATTCCACCAATGTCTGCATAATTCCATCATTGAAATGTAAAACAAGTAATTTAAAGTGGTTTGATGTGAAATGATAGGAACCAGGAGTCCATTTTATTTACTATCCAAAACGGTAAACCTATACAAGTTTTTATTTGTAATGTTGATAATAGTAAAATAGCAGTAAATCTGAAAAAAATCTTTGGGCACTATTTTGTCATACAACACCCTGCATGTACATCCAAAAGACATAAAACAACATCTCAGACATCAGGCAGCATTTTCATATCAATTTTGTGTAATAATCTCCTGTGCAGTAGCTTTGAGGGGCATTAAACTCTTCAGACGTCTGGTTTCTATCACCGCTGTGAGGAATCCTGTGACTCCACTGTGAACAATTTTATGCCAAACCACTCTGAATGACTTTGTTTACATCTTGACAATTTAACAATGCAGTTTTTTTTTAAATGTGTGTAATTTTTCTTTACCACAGGTGCCTATACAGCTTCTTTGGCAGCTGGAAGGACATGATATTGGAGTGACCATACTTTAAAAAAAATAAAGATGGCGTCAAGCAAAGGTAGGTAACATTTTGACTCAACATGAATAAACATATTCAACACTGCTCTAATTGAAATAAATTAAATATTCCTCCAGGCCAAGACCCTCCTATTAAACGGCGTAGGCAAAGCATAGAAAAACCCCCTACCAGTGAGTTGACAAACTGTCAAAATTTGCACAATTGAGGTTTGTTCATTTTAGGTACTGGTAACTGATGACTTTACATCTCTCTAAAACTCTTTTGCAGTGTGCATTGGTGACACTTCTCTGAGAATAGTGATATTTGGCAACACTGGTCCTCATCAATTCTCTCTCACTGAGTCGATTCTGCAGAGAGCTGTCTTTGATGGTGTTGATCCAAATGCTACACTAACTACGAAAACATCAGGACATGTCCTGGAGAGAAATGTGATGCTGGTCAACACCCCAAATCTAAACACTCACTGCTTAGCACAAGAAACTCTTAAAAAGGAGTTCAGGAAGTCCATCTGTTTCTCCTGCCCTGGGCCACATGCAGTCCTCTTCATTTTAAATCCCATAGATGTGCCACCAGATCCCTATGGTGTTTTCAAACCGGTGGTGCAGTACTTTGGAGAAAGTATCCTGAACCATGCCATGGTTGTTCTGTATGATGAAAGGGAGCTAGTGGACAGTGAGACTGAGATTGAAGAACTGAAGGAGTTTATCCAGAAGTGTGGTCAAAGATGCTTCATCTTCAGTGGAGAGAAGAATAGGGAAGAGGGCAGCATGACAAGACAACTCTTTCACAAGATTGACCAGATGGTTTCAGAACATAAGATCTATTCCAACCCGGAATTTAAAGATGCAGATAAGCGAATTAAGAAAGAGGAAAAATTCCTTGAGAAAGAGAGACAGAAGGAGGTCAAGAAAATGCTGGAGGCTCTCAAGAACGAGCATTCAGGAGAAGATTATGACAGAGAAGTGAAACTTTATCAAGAAAAGATGCACTTAGAGAACAGAGAGAGGGCAGAGATGCTGATAGCAGACAGGCTTGGCTTTACTCTAAGACTGGTTGATTATGCGGCAGCAATAGGAAAAGGAGCATTTGTAGGTGCAGTGTTAGGCATAGTGATGGGGCCTGAGGGTATGGCTGTAGGAGCAACAGTTGGCGCAGCTCTTGGCGGGGTACTTGGAGGAGCTGCTGGAGCAACTTGGAACTACTTTACTGGTGTTTTTGCAGATGTCCGTTGAGATTTCACTTAAAGGGCACTTCAAAATAAAATTTATTTCATTATTAGTGCTAATATGTCCAAAGGTAAAGTGTTGAAGAATGCTGTCATTTCATTTTTTTTATTTCATTCTGTAGCGATGCACTTGTTAAAGCTTCACTATGAAAGATTGTTTTGTTAAAATTTAAAAAAGTAGCTTTACTAAGTCAGGAGGAAACAACACACAAAAAAATGGTAGCTGCTGCAAATCATCCTGTAAAGCCTGAAATGATGATTTAAAAGTCAGAGGCGTAAGGTTGGATATGGCAGGGTTTTTTCAGGCCACATCATACGTCATAGGACATCTTTACCTATTAACATCACACACATACTGATGAAGTTGTATGGTTACAGTAGTACATAATTCTAACATCCTTAGAAGACACATCCTTCACCAAGTGTTGTCTGAATTCTCTTTGAATGCACTTTAACATGCTCACAAACATCAGATTCATCCCTTTGGGGAAGGGGTCTGAACCACAAAAAACATTAAATTAAAATATGCTCAAATTTGCCCTTTGAAGGTATCGGAGTCAGAATGGAGTGGGGGATATCAAAATGGATTGGGGGTAAGTATTGCATGCACACTGCTGAAAAAACAGACAGTCCAGCAAAGATATATATTTATCCCATTAAATAAAGTACGAAAAGCCAGACACAAACCAAGCGAACATTTCATCTTCTTGCTATAATCAGTACTAATGAAGCAACTCTCTCAACCTACTCCTTTTGTTAAGACCCAAATTGACCTCACCTGTGTAAGTTCTGCTAGGGACTTCTTAAAGTGACAGTACAACAACTAGAGGGCATACTCAGCTGCAAAGATAGAAATCAAATACATCAAAAACTATTTCAAAGTACAACATATTAATCAAATATAGCCTCTGTTTTATAAAAACAATTAAGATAAAGATCCTCATTCATACCATTAGGACACAGAGATAAAAGTTCACAAATCCAGTAGGCCTGTCTCTGTATTAATCTTTTGTCCTGATCTCCCCCTCGTCTTTGCAACAGAGCTCTTTCAATGCCCAGGAAATCTGAAAGAAAATGTTTAGCAGATTGAAAATGATGAAAAACAGAGGATGTGTCAACCTGTCTGCGACTTGCACTCGTGTTCAGTTATTGTGGTCCGCAAAAGTCGTCCAGTTTTGCCAGCATACAATAGAGAACAAGGACACATGATGACATAGACAACGTGTGAATCTACAAGTTATGAATTGTCTGATCTTATATGCTTTCGGAGTTTGAGGGTGTGTAAAAGATTTACATCACACAAACTGAGAACAAGAGGTACAATTATGACAAGGAATTATGACAAGGAGAGAGTTGAGTTGCAGAAGGGAACGTGTATTTTCACACAAAATGGAGGTTCTTCAGAAAAGGAGTAGGTTGAGAGAGTTGCTTCATGAGCAGTGATGATAGCAAGAGGCTAAAATGTTTGCTCGGTTTGTGTCTGGCATTTTGTGCTCTGTTTAATAAAATAAATATATATCTTTGCTAGGCTTGTCTGATTTGTCAGCAGTGCGTGGGTAATACTTTTGCCACTCTAAAACATTAAAGTCGTACAAAATCATACGTCCAAAGTATAACATCTACAGTAAACAACTTTAAACGTGTGTTACGAGATTTGAGTATCTGCGTTTAATGTAGAGAGCTGCTATAAAATGTTAACACTCACCACTGTTAGCTTGATGCTAACGTAACAGGCAAATTTCTATTACCGGGCTAGCAGAAATTAGCATTATATTTAAATTAGCCTGAAAACATGCGTGAACCAGGTGATCCTGGATATCACATCTAAAGGCTCCAGAGATTTTTACTATGTTTTTAAAGGTGAACTATTCTTGGGCACTGGAGTAGCCCCAGTAGTTTTTGATATCCTGGACATCCATTTGAAACATATGAAGTTATAGTTTAATATTTTTTATATCATGTGAGTATGATGAGTCCTGAAATGTCCTTAAGATACTAAAGGGAATTCCACCCATTTTTCGGAACATTTCTTTTTATTTAAGTGGTTAAGATGTCAACAAAGTCTTTCAGAGTGGTTCAATGTGAAATGCTTCGTTCAAAACTTACCCAATCAGAACTGTTCACAGTGGTGGTGATAGGATGTCCAAAGTGATGAATGCCTCTAAAGATCCCTCACAGACATATATTACATACAATGGTTATGAACACACTGCCTGATATCTGAGTTGTTTTACGATAGTATGGAGAAGTTTTCCATTCATAAGTCCATTCATGCTGGAGAGATATGTTCAAGGTATATGGAAAAATAATCCTCAAAAAACGTATTTTTAAGGCATATCACTGTTGTACTCTTATCAATACTACGTATACAAACTAAGAAGACATGTAGGTTTTCTGGTGATTCTGGATAGCAAATAAAATTATTACATTTGCGTTGTAGACATCACGACTCCTGGTTCACCACCACTGTAAAGAAATAAAGAGTCTTGAGCATATCACATCAAACCACCCTGAATGACTCTCTACAGTTTAATTTGTTTGCAGAAATGCAGAATTTCCAATACATTTTCTGTATATTTTATGCTGAAGACATGTTTGCCTGTATGTGTGTATGAGTGTGAATGCCAAGTTGTGCAATTTCTGAATGAGAAATTAAACACACTGTACATAGCAATAAAAACAAAACATATATATATATATATATATATATATATATATATATATATATATATATATATATATATAATATAAACTTTTTCATCTGTTGTAATAAATGCAAAAAATGCATCTGCTTCTTGTCTTTCTTTTTCACATGGAGTTGTCTATTCATGGTACTTGTTATGACGTTTTCACCCACATGGTTTGTCAGACCGTGTCTGGCCCCTCCTGTCTCTCAGAACACACCTGTTCATTTGATGGTTTAGCTCATTGTCAAGGGAATTGTCTTAAGAGAACCAGAGTAGGATACGTTATCTATCACATGCCCAAATACCCAGGTAAGACTGAACCAGGACACCATTTCTCTAAAAATAAGACTACTGTATTACTTTTAATATATTAATGTAAAACACAACCAATACCACTTACAGTAATCTGCATTAAAATATGAATCATTATTGAACATCCACAGTTTGTATGACAAATAATATGATGTTAATCTAAAATGTTGTTATATTCTTTTGTTTCATTTTGTAATGAGTGAGGATTATTTAACTAAAACCTAAATGAACAACGTACAAAGTCTTTGTGCTCTTGGAATTCAAGAAATTTCATGCTTGGTAGTTAGAGGGTGAACTGTTTTTCCCACAACGTCAGTCTGATGGAGTTTCAGGTAAAACCTGTTCTTTTGCATGCCACCAGTTTATGATTACACTGAAGGATCTTTTTGTAACCTTTCGTTCAGTTTAGTAAAACTGATAGGATTAAAAAAATATATTTATTTTTATAAAGAATCCACCTTGTACATATGTAAATGTACGCTCAGTTGGACAGAACAGTCAGAGCATTTATGCATATTTGGCCTACTGCCAACGGACGATTGGTGTAATCTGGTGATATAATAATTATATTGTCAAGCAATGCTTATAGTTGCTACATATGTAAAGGAATTGATTTCATAGTTATCCTGTTTTGTAATAGGGCCATTAGGTTTCACAATAAGTTGAGGAACTGTCAGAATGGACACTGAAATCTTCTTCTCAATAGAAAAGGCAGTGTGGATAAACATTACCACACACCCAGTTGTAGCTTTTGTCTGTATTGATGTCATGATCAGAGGTGGGTAGAGTAGACTAAACACAGAAATAAAAGTATTGTTTAAGTATGATGTAGTCACTCAAGTAGAAAGTAAAGTAGCTTACACTTTTAGTAATAAAGGTTCTGTGCAGGTACATTTTTCATTCATCAAGGTACAAACAATGTAAATGTACCTTCAAACGTACAACAATGGTTTTAAGGTCCAATTGTGAACCTTAAATAGGTTTTTCCAGGTGAAAAGTACATATTTTTACCTTTTTTTATAACCTAATGTTTTAAAACAGAACAATAAAATAAACAGCTTGGAGGTGAGACGGGGTGTGTGGAGTCAGTACAATTTAGAAAATATAATTTCAGTGGATTATGGTACAGTTATGTTCCCTGACTAAAGGTACTGAGATGTACCGTTGAGGGTACCACCCCAGTGACAAGAGGGGAACTGCCCCAGTGACAGTTTCATACCTCCAAAACTAACAAAGAACAATTTTTTAACAACAAAAGATATTTTTTATATTTTTTTTGAAAGAAAACTTTATTAGTTTTAGCTTTACAGGGACAATTTCTGCGATATGAGAGTTTTGACAATTTGGCTAAATTAAAAAAAAAAACAAAACCTGAAACCTGCAACAGGTTTGGGACAGGAACAATTTAAGACTAGGAACATTGTGAAATCTGTAAAAAACATCTTAAAATGTTTAAGAACAGTGTTCTGCAACGAGCGATTACAATGATTTTATGTATTTCCCTCTCTATGGTGCACAACATTATCAGGGCATCTGGAGAAATCTCAGATGGCACTGCATTAAAAACCGACATGCTTCTGTGATTGACATCACCACATGGCCTGGGGTCTTGTCAAAAAACGCCATTCATTGCTGCTTTCAAAAATGCAAGTTAAGCCACATATCAACAACACCCAGAAAGGCTCATCTGAAATGGACTGATGCACAGTGGAAACCTGTACTGTTGTCTGATGAGTCAACTTTTCAGGAAATAATGGATGTTGTGTTCTGTAGGCCAAAGAAGAAACAAAAAATGGTAAAGTTCAAAAGCCAGGGTCTGTCATGGCATGGGGCATATAAGTGCACATGGCATAGGTAACATCTGTGAAGGCACCATTAGCACTGAAAGATACATACACATTGTGGAGCAGCATATGTTGCCTTTTAGATTACGTCTTTTTCAGGAACGTCTATGCTTATTTCAAAATGACAATAGCATGCCCTGTTCTGCATCACAGAATACCCCAGCATGGCTGCGTAATCAGAGTGTGCAGGTGCTAGAGTGGCCTGTCTGCAGTCCAGACCTGTCCCCCACTGAAAACTTGAAGTGCAAAATATGACAACAAAGGCCCTGTATGCCTGTGCAGCTGAAGACTTGTGTAACAAAAGAATGGCAAAAAAATCTGCTTTCAAAACTTTTTGCTAGTTTGTGTCTTTGGTCTCCAAACAATTATCAAGTGCTGTTAAAAGCAAAGGTGATGAATGCAGAGGTAAACACGCTCCTGTTTTTTTTGTTTTTTGGAACATATTGCAGGCATCAATTTTAGAATGAGCATGCATTTACAAAAAACAATGAAACTAATAATTCATTCAAAATATCAAATATTTTATTGCAAGTCAAAACAGAATTTATTAATCATTGCTTGTTTTATTTTTTTATTGTTTTATTAGTATTTCACATACTGTCCCAACTTTGTTTAGAAGGTTTGTAGTTTCTTTTCCTTACAAATGTACACTATGGATCAAAAGTTTGGGAACACTATTTTTTAATAAAAATGAATCCAATTTTGTTGGAGATGCATGTATATAATAATTCCAAAATGATTAAAATATTTCATATATTTCACACTATTTGTAGAAGGCTGTAAAAATGTTGAAATTTTCAAAGATGAATGGAGCCGTGGATGATTCCATAATAACTGAGAAAGCTGTAAAGCACCAAGACTGAATGTCCAGAATGTCTCATATCGGAAAAGCAGTAACCAAATCTCACTGATCAAATACTCATATTAATTTTATGTCAAGAAAATACTATATATACACAATTACTGTTTATTATTTAATAACATAAAAAAAATTTTTCCATGTCATAATTTATTGTTGTTCCCAAAACATTTTAAATTGCATATAAACCATTGGTTTATGTTATAGTGTTTAAACGTGATTCCATACTTTTGAACAGCAGTATATAAGTACAAGTATTACCATTTCAACATTACTTTGTTACTTTACCATGGTAAAAAAAGAAATCCCTCAAAATGTAGTGATTTTTGCCTCTAAAATGAGTTTTGCTTACATCACTGTGCACCATAATCATATTAACAAATAATAACATGTTCATCACCTCCCTGTCCCACTAATGCCACCATTCGCCAAGAGAAAATGCTCTGCCCCATTACATTGTTTCACTCGGAGATGTCATGGTACAGAAGAAAAATGGGCTATGATTTGTGATTCATGTTGACTTCAAGTACATGGAACTGAGTAAATAGAACTAGTTTCTACCTTCCTCTGCTTCTGATAGCATCAGCTTTCTGTTTACCTGAAACTCTGCTTGATGATCATGTTAAGAGTCTGTTAGGGCCTTTCAACAGGCAAACAAAGCTAATAAAGCTAACTTAAGTTGAGGAAAATAGACAGTGTATACATTTAACTGTACATTTTGTTCCAGGGAATGGATTCTACCTTCGGCCTCCTGTCTGAGAAGCACTTCCTCTGCTCCCTCTGTGAGGACATCTTCAGCAGGCCGGTCACCACGCCTTGTGGCCACAGCTTCTGCAAGGTGTGTCTGCGCAAGTACTGGAGCCGCACTGGCCTAGACAAGTGTCCTCTCTGCGGGAAGTCCTTCGTCTCCAAGCCTCACCTCAGTGTGAACCGCATACTGGCAGATGTCACTGAGCAGTACAGGAAGTCACGTTCAGGCGCCAAAGCCAAGGCTCACAGTTTGGATGGATTGCTAAATGAACCTGTAAGTAGCTCTTTAGTGAAGGCTGTCTAAAGTCACTGGAGAACAGAGCTGAAGACACAGTGTGTTATAGCCTGGCCAGTGGTTTAGTTTTCTTTGTAGTGAAAAATCCCCAAATGTAGCTGATCAGCCAAGACATTTTTATCATTTTTTGGCTTCTATTGTTTTGCATTGGAGCTACAAGGCTAATGTAGATTTGCAAAACCTGCAAGAAGCGTCCCGCAGCCATATTGTTGTCATTTCATCAACAATGATGCAGAACAATTACACACATCCTCAAACTGGCAAGGTGTTCATAGTTCAGACAGAATAAAATGTTTGATGATGTTTGTGGTCTGTTTATTAGTTTGTCCATGCAGCCTTGGTTAGGGAACCAGCCTTGTGACTGGAAAGTCACCGTTTCGATCCCCTGAGCTGACAAGACATGACTGATGTGCCCTCGAGCAAGGCACCTAACCTCCCAGCTGCTCCCCGGGCGCTGTGGATAGGGCTGTCCACTGTGCTCACTACCCCAAAGATGGGTTAAATGTGGAGGTGAATTTCCCTGTTGTAGGATTACTTTATAAATTATTAAATTAGAATTTATTAGAATAAATAATCAAAAAATAAGAAGAAAAATAGGGAATACAAGACGACCAAAACATGGTCAATTTTAACCAGTTTAATGACATAAAAACTCTACATTTTACCCTGCATTAGTTTTTACATTTATTTTTTTCTGCAGGTGCAGAAGACTGACGTTGATAAAGAACACATGATTGAGCAGAGAATTCAGAAGGTGGAGAAACTCAAGCAGTCCCTGAAGCTCCTAAAGGTGAGTCTTCCATCTTTCTGAGCAATCCATGTTCTTGACTTATTACCACTCAGATAAATCTAAAAAGCTAGTAAAAATGAACGGATGGTGCTTCCTGTATCAGAGCTCGTGTCTAAGGGAGGTTCAGGAGAGTCGGAGGGTTTTCTCTGCCCTCCTGAACTCTGTAGAGTCAGCCCATAAGGCAGTGGTGGCAGCAGTGGAGGAGAAACAGAAAGAGGCAGAGAAACGAGTGGACAGATTGGTGAGGGAGCTGGAGAAGGAGATCCTCGAGCTGAAAGGTGGGCAGACCAAACCAGACCTTCTGCGAGATGACAAGACTCAACTTACAAAGGTGAGCTCTGCACTCTTTAGCACTTAAACGTTTTATTTACTTATCAATCTAAAGATTAATAACACTGATGTTATTATTTATAAGCTATAAGCTTCCATTGTGTGTTAACTCCTCATAACATTAATGCAAAACTGAAAAAGCAGACTTTGGGCACCAGGCATGTCTTGACGACTACATTTTTGCATTTTTTTTTATTTGTGGTTTTCCTTTGAGGAATTTAATTTTTGGCTGGACCATCATTTTAGGGTGGAATTCCACCGTTCAAAATTTTTGCCTTATTCAATTGTTGGGGTGTGAACAAAGTCATTCAGAGTAGTTTGATGTGAAATGATTCATTGTAGAGAAATTTACCAGTTCAGTTTGGTATACAGTGGTGGTGATAGGAATCAGTGGCCACAATGTATACAGTATTAATTTTTACTGTCTTAAATGACCAGTGAACCTACACATGTCTTCTAAATTCTTAAATATGATGTTGATGAAGGCAAAAAAGAGATAATTGTAAGACAAAGGCATCAGGCAACATATTGCTAACCACTTCATGTAAAAACTTTCTGTAAAGTAGCTTTTAAAGGCATTAAACTCTCCAGACATCTGGTTCCTATCATCACCACTGTGAACAATTCTGACTCAGTAAGTTTCTCTAGAATGGAGCATTTCACATCAAACCACTCAGAATTACTTTGTTTACATGTTAATGATGCACTTATGCAGATATTTTGGAAAATCAGTTGAACTCCCCTTTCAGTGGCCAGGTAATGTTACCCCTTACAGTTCATTGTGTAGTCCATTTGACAGGAGATGGCGCCATAGATCTGGTCCAGTAACCCCAACAGCAACGCAAAGCCACTTTTTGTCTAATGAATATATATCTGTATTTGACCCAAACACTCTGTTTCAGGGACCTCATCTTGTTTTCCTCAATGCCACCCAAGTCTCCCACTTTTAATTGTTAAATAATCTTGTTCCTTATTTGCAGAGTTTTAGTCATTTGCCCACAGAGATGAGGGATTGGTCAAAGGTCAGCCTAGAGACAGACCCTTGCTTGGGCTACACCAGGAAAGCTGTGATGGACCTCTTTAATGCTGTCATGGCGGAGGCTAACAAGCTCTCTAAAGCAGGTCTGTATGTGCACTATAAGTAGATTTTATCTGCCGTTCAGGTGGCATACTTTGCCTTTTTCCTGTCTTCTGACACATCCATTCGGTATCAGAAAAATGATCTGAATGTACTTCATGTCATTTTACAGAGCTGAAGATGTTGCAGAAGTATTCAGGTAGGTTATGTGTCACTTAGACACCTAGAATTATAGTGCATTTTTACATATTACATTGGCAGTTAAAAAGAATTGCTCAATTTTTTGATCAGTCATACACAACAACAATGGAATGCAATCATAGGAAATAGACAGTGTTAATGAGTATTTTGTAGAGTGTCCTCTGGCCTCATACTGTTTTCTTTTTATTTTTTTGGAATAAGTTAAAGTAACTGCCTCTCGCACAATCTTCACTGCTGTCCACACCCTATCCATACTTCCTTACAAAGGCAAAGAGTAGTGAAACAGCAGGAACGGGAATGGAAAAGGGAACTTTCAGGGTCAGAGAAAGCCTATTGATTTCTAGAAACAATTTTTAGTTCATTTTTATTGATTAAAATCATCATGCTGCATTATGTAAGATATTTCATTAAATTTGAAAGAAGTCACTTCACTAAAACATGGCTGCTGTAAATCACCCTGTAAAGCCTAATATTGTAATTTAAAAGGTGGTGTTAGGCCGGGAGTTTTTTTCAGACCACGTCATATGTCTTTATGTATTAACATCAAAAGCATACTGATGAAGACACAATGACAATCATGGATAATTTACTTATATCCTCGAAATAGATCACCAAGTCTTTCAACTTGCTCATAATCATCAGATTCATCCTCTAGGGGAAGGGGTCCAAAGCACATATTACAAAATTTTCTTCAGCATTTTGCTTGCAATTACACATTTCCACCAGAGAGGTCTCCAAATCCCCAGAACCTACATAGTGTAGCTTTAATCTCTGCAAATACTGCAGCAATACAATTTTTACATTGTAAAGTTTTGGTTAGAAACAAAAGAGTTAACATATTGAACAAAATGGAAAATTGTCCAACCAGAGCAAGCTCTCCCATTGGTTTGGACTTCAGGAGCTGAACTAAAGGCCTAATATGTTAGATTAACTGATAACATAATTAGGAACTGACAGGGGAATCACTCAATCACATTTATTGGTAAGACCAATTTCAAGAGGAAAAACATAACTCTGGTGCTCTGGAATTCTACATATGTCGCTGACTGTAAATATGAGCTCTAGTCGAACCGTCCTTAGGAATGGACAGTTGTTAGAAACTCTCTATTCCAGGGCTGTAAAAACGTCATTGTAAAACTGGTACACAGATGGTAAAATATTACCAGTTCACAAGCTTCGAATTAAATGATGGAATGTCTTTTAGAAGCTTGAAATGTCCATGGGCAAAAATCTTAACATGCACTAGTACTTAACACTAATGATAGAAATCCCATAGGGGTGCTAGAAGAAATTAGCATAATAGTAGATATTGTTTTTTTGTGTTTTTCAAACTTGTTTAGACATTTATGGCCCAAACTGAAAGCCTAGTTCTAAAAGTCATGGTGCTCCTTTAGTCTTTACCTTTTCCTCAAACCTCTCCCCCACTCGGGCCACAATGGAAAAATGTAACTATGTAACAATCTTTTTCAACATGCCTACTTGCCTCTTGCAGTGGTCTATAGAGCAGGGGTGTCCAATCATATCCACAAAGTGCCAGTGTGGCTGCAGGTTTTTACTCAAAGCAAGCCGGAGCACACCTGATTCCATTTGTTTAATCAGTTGGTTTCAGGCTTCAAATTGCTGATCAGGTGATCTACTTTGTTGGAATGAAAACCTGCAACCACACCGGCCCTTTGTGGATTGAGATTGAAGATTGGACACCCCTGCCATAGAGCAATATTCCCAGAGTAAAGACTATGATGATGTATCACGAAGGTAGAAGGTAGAAGTGCTTTGTGGTTGGTACATGAAGTTGGCCTGTTTTTTTACACATTAGCTTGCCCAAAAGGAAACTAATATCACTGCTATGTGGCCGTTATATCATGTCTGTGTGCCTTAGCCTCTACATGGGTAGCTATGCCATCAGTCAGTATGGGGGGGATTCTCAATGTTTGTATGGCATATTTGTGAAAGGGTTGCTGGGTATTGTAGTGAGAGAACATTGATGTATGAAAAAAGGGATGCAAAATCATAAATTCTGTCAAACCGATGAGGCAAACTGATGCAATGCAGCGCTATGGGATATTACATAACATGACACATGACATATTAAATGCTAGGTTCATACCTGAATACCACTTTAAGTGAACAGCAGTAGATTCCTTCAGACAGATCAAAGATAGTTGCTGAACGCCAGTGTAAGACATGCATCTGAGCAATTCTTTTTCACTGCCAGTGTAATGCATTTGACCATTGTGTTCTGTGGCCGGATTGGTTGATCTTTCCCTTTGTTGCAGCGGAGGTCACACTGAATCCCCGCACCGCTCATGCCCACCTAGCCATCTCTGATGACAGGAAGGATGTCCGGCACACCAACAAGCAGCAGGAGGTCCCAGAGAACCCTAAGAGATTTGACCGTGTCACCAACGTCCTGGCCAAGGAAGCCTTCAGCTGTGGCAGGCAGTACTGGGAGGTGGAAGTGGGAGACAAGACGGACTGGGACTTGGGCGTGGCCAAGCAGTCCGTCAACAGGAAGGGGAAGTTCACGGTCAGTCCGGCCAATGGTTTCTGGATACTCAGTCTGAGGAACGGAAATCAATATACTGCCAACACGTCACCGCCCACCTGCCTGGCCCTCACATTCAAGCCCAGAAAGGTGGGTGTTTACCTGGACTACGAGGAGGGTCGTGTGTCCTTCTTCTGTTTGGACTCCGGGGCTCACATCCACACTTTCACAGATACATTCACTGAGAAGCTCCATCCAATATTCAGCCCCGGCCGACCGCACGGAGCCAAGAACAGTGCCCCACTTATTATCACCACCAGCTGCTGCAGCATCTAAACCAATATGGCACTTTTAAATGCCTGATTATATGTCCTCATAGAATGACACTTGAAACTGTAAAGCCCTGTCACACAGAGAACCGTTTATCTGAACCAAACTTGGCTGAAATGTTAAAATTGAGAATTCAATATTTGGTTAAATACAGTTTTATTATGTTTGCTATAAAATTTTTGTTTGCAGATTGTTGGAATTCTTTTCTACTACATGTTGAATAAGATTAATCATTCTAAGGTTTATTATTGTGTTATACAATACTGTTCAAAGTTCAGAGAGTACTCTTCATTTATTTAATTTCCAATTGAAATTACCATGAAGTACAAGTTTTTTATTTTTCAGTGTAAGGAAAAAGGCAGAAAATATAAATTTAACAATAAAATTACACAGAAGCCTTGACAACCTGTAATATCCCATTTTCAGCATTTAGTTTGTCCACCTTTGCCTTTATTACAGCTTTCATTCTTTTCAGGAGGCTTGCTTTCAATTTTTTTCAGTTTTTTTTTAAAGAAATCTGCAAGCATACATTTCCACACCTCCAAAGTTCAGTCTTTTAAGTTGGTTGTTTTTTTTTAGCTATTTATTTGATGGGGATGGCTTTGGTGGTCTACCACATCTGGCATAGTTGTTAGGAGCCTCATTTTCTTTATTCATTTAAACATTTTTTGAACTTCAGCTTTGTAAAATCCATTTTTTCCTTTGAATTTCTCTTTCTAATGCAAGTGGATATCTTGTAATCTCTTTAAAAGAAATATCTCCTGAAAAATGGATAACTTGTACTTAATGGCTATTTGAACTGGAATGAATAAAGGATAGACTTTCTATATAGTACTCTACACTCTCAGAAATAACGGTATGAAATTGTCACTGGGGCAGTACCCTTCTTGTCACTGGGGTGGTACCCTCAAGGGTGCTTCTCAGTACCTTTAGTCAGGGAACATAACTACCATAATCTGTTGAAATAACATTTTCTAAGTTGTATTGACTCCACACACCCCGTCTCGTCTCCCGGCCTTTTATTTTATTGTTCTGTTTTAAAACATTTGGTAATGAAAAGGTACAAATATGTACTTTTCACCTGGAAAACTTATTTAAGGTTCATAATCAGACCTTAAAACCACTGATGTACCTTTGAGGGAACATTTACATTGTTTGTATCTTAATGAACGAAAAATGTACCTGCACAGAACCTTTGTTTGTAACAGTGTATGTAGATATATTTTATGTGTTATATGTTATATTATTTGTACATGCAAATGCAATTGTTATAAATAGCTAAATAAACAGATATTAAGTCATAATAGAGCTATGCTAATCTTGTTTTTTCAGTATGCTAATGCATTGGCTAATTTTATGGTAATTCATGGTAATTGTTAATGGTCAACAAGCACAAGTTGGAGTTTGTTTGAGTTGAAGCATTCACAGAACATTGAATCTCTTCACTGATTCTTACCGAAAGTGTAAACAAAGTGGAGAAAAAGGGGGAGATGAAATGAAAGAGTTTATGTCGAGAAGTAAGAAGGCGAGAGATGAAAAAGAGGACAGAGGAGATTGATGGGTGGGGGGGGGGTCGAGTCCAGGAGCGTGAGGGCGACGAAACAGCGGGTCATTGTGCTGGTCCACCAGGCACTGGGAGACACACACTCGGACACATTAATGCATTCACACAGCACCGTGAAACGCGCACACACAAGCGCGTGCTTCTGCCCACTGCCATACAGACCAGTGCTGACATCGTAGCGCTGGCAGCCCCTCTCTCCGCTCTTCTGCTTAACTGTCCTTGGCCCAGTTGGTACTGTCATCCTGAGCTTCTCTGTGGATCACACTGAACCAGCACTACCACCAGCTTTAGAGCATCCTACACCAGTGCAGTGCCTTAACCTGCAGCGTTCAACCTGTAGAGAACTTGGAGAAGAACCTGACTTTCAGAACAATATTCCAGGTAACTTTTTGTTATTGAGTTAAGTTTTAAGAGTCAAATAATTAATCATTAGTAAGCAGTAAAAATGGTAAAAATAAGTATTGCCTCAGAAAACCTTAAAGAACCTTCCCGTTGTGTGGTTTCAATGAACTTTTTAAAGAATCTTCTATTCGAAAGGTTCTTTAGGAAACCAAAAGTGGTTCCTCCATAGCATCAACCCTTTTGGCACCTTTTTTTTACCATTACCTGTTTAATGTACCATTCTAAATTTACGTTTCTTTATTTAGCTGACTGTTTTATCCAAATTGAAGGTATAGTCAGTAAGTGTACTCCTTGGCAATTGAACCTATGACCTTATGGTTGGTAGCACATCTACCAGATGAGATAAAGTAAATGAATTAGAGTGGTCTCTTAATGTCCACATGTCCAGTTTTTCTACTGCTAATATCACCGTGCTATTACAATGTATTATGAGGTTTTGATGCACGTCAATTGCTTGAGGAATGGCTCTTGTGAAACATCAGGGGGCTCATTGCTGGACATAGAGAAAAGGAGCAAACAGACGCTAGTCTGCTTGGCCCACTCTGTGCAGCACCCATGAAAGCTCCTTGTGTTCACGGGCTCCTCATGTTTTTCTGAGATAATCCACTCTCCCTGCCAGGCGTAGCTCGACACCCACAACAGCGTGAAAAGGATTCATTCTCTTGCATGCCTACTGGAATCCAGCATTGCTCACTGCTCACACTAGAATAAATATTTATGATGGGTCAAATCATTTAAGTGTGCCAGATTAACTAGATTTAACCAGATTATTCATATTATTATTATTCATAGTATTCATATTAACGTTACCACAGTGTACTATGACTAGATTCACATAGATGGTTACATGGTCCTGAAAGTGATCTACATCATTGAAGCATGTTTGAACTTCATTTTTGATTTTCTTTCGCAGGTCCAGTTGAACCACGCTTCATCCTTTGGTGAGGACAAAGTGGAGAAAAGGCCTAAGGACTCCTGCTCATGTTGAAGGACTTGCTAACTTTGTCAGTTGTTGGTTCCTCTCCAAACAGTTTTTCGGACTTTGCGAAGCAGCCATTGCTTGACGAATAACAAATCAGCTAGCAAACAGCAGTGCAGGTGCCTAAGACAAAAAGTCCCCATGGCAACAACGGGTATGCAGCTCCTAGGCTTGGTCCTGTCCATCATCGGCTGGGTGGCCGGCTTCCTGGTGTGCGCCCTGCCCATGTGGCGCGTCACTGCCTTCATTGGCAACAACATTGTGACGGCGCAGATCACATGGGAGGGGCTGTGGATGAACTGCATTGTCCAGAGCACGGGAGAAATCCAGTGTAAAGTGTATGACAGCCTGCTGGCCTTGCCCAGTGATATGCAGGCTGCCCGAGGCCTCACCGTGCTCTCACTTCTCCTCTGCAGCCTAGCGCTCACCCTGGGGGTCCTGGGGGTCAAGTGCACTAAGTGCGTGGGTCACCAGAGCCCGAAGGCCCGGCTGGCACGTGTGTCTGGCATCATCTTTGCCGTCGCGGGCTTCCTCTACCTCATCCCCGTGTGCTGGACGGCCCACTCTATCATCAGGGATTTCTATGACCCCTATGTGGCTGCCCCACACAAGCGTGAGCTGGGCCCCGCTCTCTACCTGGGCTGGGGGGGCTCAGCCCTGCTGCTGATTGGTGGATCTCTGCTTTATGCCGGCTCAAGCCCCCCAGGGATCCCCTCTTCGCCCACCTTCAGCAGCGGAGAAAGCAGCCCCCGTAGGGCTGGAGGACCCACGCAAGTCAAAGGTTATGTTTAACAGCCCGTCAAGCCAACAGAAACCCCCTCTGCTAGTTTTCCCCATTGTTATAGATTGAAGTTAATTTTAACGGATTTTTTTTACTATACAGTGTTACTGCCTGATGGAAGAGAAATGTGAATTTACTTTGTTTTGCCTTCCTTTGCGTCCTCATGTAACCCTGTCTCTATATTCGTTGTTTATGTATTAAACAATAAAGATGTCACCTCTCCTATAAAGCCTGTCCTAAATGTTGTGTAAAAATTTTTGTTTTTTTTTCCATTTGAAAACACCAGCAACCCTTTATATTTGTGAACATTTTATGATGAATAGCCCAACAGACCCCTGAAGATTTTTGTATTGTAGAAACCCCAGATCTAAGCCATTTTTTTCTATGTGGGCCGTTTTTGACCCTGTGTTAAACTGAAATGTTCCAAACCCATTACACTTTGTCGTACATACATTTTTACTCCGAATCCTTGCTGGAAAACAGCTTAAACGAGCATAGCTGGTCACCAGCAGAACCAGCATATCATCGCTGTTGGAAAAAAAAATTGTATCTCCAAAATGTCAACAGGAGAAGGCAAGAGCTTTCTTAACTTTAAATGGAAGCTAATGGAAGAAAGATTTTAAAGATTTCAAAAGAGTTTTTGAGCACTGTCCATTCATCATAAAATCTTAACACAATGTAAAGACCAGTTGTTGTTGTTTTACAAATTATGTCAAATAAAAGAACAAGAAAAATGGTGATTCAAGGCTTTGTCCCAAAAGCAAAGGTGTATTGTGTTTTGGATACTGGTATGCTGGTCAACCAGCATGACCATGCTAGGTGACCAGCTAAACCAGCACCAGACCAGCACTAGACCAGCATAGACCAGCTCAGACCAGCATGGAATTTATACTGGTCTGTGCTGGTCTTTTCAGCAGAGATGTCACTGGATCTTTGATTTACAAGCTCACTAAGGAGTTGAAACTACAGGCTAAAAGTGCTAACGCTACTGAGCAGTGAACTCACACTATTGACTAGCAACCTCACCAAAATACCCAAAACAAACTAGCAAGCTTTGCCAAATGTACTAGTTAGGTTGCTTTGGCTACAGTCTGAGTAGCTGTTGGCATATAATAGTGTTGAGGTAGACTTACATTTATGTGACATCATTTCAGTGTGCAGGAGTGTTAGCTTGCAAGTAGCATGTATGCAGCATTATTTCATTTGGACTGCTAAACAACCTCATAATTCAGAGGATCCAGTGACGCTCAGGGTGAAAATTAACACAGGACACCCTTCACCCCCCGCAGTGTCACTAGTTTCTTTGAGTTACATATACAGTCAAAATATGAATAAAGCTGCATACAGGCTATAGAATGTCTTTCTTTACCTCAGAACAGGATGGCACCATTCATTTTTCCTCTAGAGAAAACTTAGAGTTCCTGGTACGGGCCTGACTACAGAGTAGCAGATGATTTCAGAGGTCTATATAAAGGGTACAAAATTACTTGGAAACAAGTCTTATTACAATAGTAAGCATTAAAAATGTTTTCTTCTCAAACACGCACTAAAAATATTCGACATATGTTACTTCATATGCACATGCAT